CCAAATCTGGCCTTGGTCTAACCCTGAGTGGAGGGGCAAGACCTTCTGGCTTTAAGTCTCAGCAGAAGCATTGGCACAGCCCAGTCATCCCCAGCTTGGGCTGCAACCAACACTTGGTGTCTCTGAGGTAAGCTTAAGGTCTCTGATGCATGCAGCAACAGGATTGTGGGGGCAGAATCCCCTTTGGTCCCATGTGGCAACCAGCAAAGCCCAAAATACTGGAAAAACCCTATAGTGGAGCATAAGCATAGCTACATCTAGCTGGGGCCTTTCCAACGTTCTTGAACACCTCTGGTGAAGGAGAGTCCACAACTCCCCAGGGCATCTATTCCACTCCCTCACTGCTCTAATGGAAAAGAAGCTTTTTCTGAGATCTAATCTAAATCTTTTGCTGCCACTTCTAGCCATTGGTCCATGTCCTCCTCTGCAGCAAGAGAGGGGTTTTTTCCCCCCCCCTCTTCTTTATGGCAGTCCTTCAAGTCTTTGAAGACTGCTATCATGTCTTCTCAACTGCCTTGTCTGCAAGCTGAACATACCTAGCTCCTTCATACTCTCCTTGTATGACTTGCCTTCCAAGCCCTTGATCCTCTGCCACCTGCCCCTGGACACTCTCCAACTGCTCCATGTCCTCTTTAAAATGTGGAGCCCAGAACTATGCACAGTACTGCAGGTGAGGCCCTAACCAGGGCAGACTAGAGGCATGTTTAGTTACCTCCCATGACTTGCATCAGTAGAAACATTAGGTACATCTGAAAACTGCATTGGCCTCTTATGCAGCTGTGTTGCACTTCAGACTCCTACCAGGTCTGGTCTGCCAAGGCTCCCATATCCTTCTCCATAGAGCTGCCATCCAACCGCTGTCACCCAATTTGTTTTGAGGGTTTTGATTATTCTTCCCACAGTGCAGCACCTTGTTTTATCAGCATTGAACTTCATCCTATCAGCTCCAGCCCAGTTTTCTAACCTGTCAATCCTTCTGAACTGTGCTCCCATCCTCTAACATGTTCACAATCCTTTCCCATTTCAAGTTGTCTGTACGCTTGCTTGAAGTTTCTATGCTGGCATCCAGATCATTAATAAATCAACCCTCCAAAATTGGGGCATGTCTTAAGGGTTGTCTGTGCTAACACTTGGGAAGCCAGTGATGGGGAGGAGCAACCCATATCTGAATGAGATCTTGTCTGGCAGACATATGCTTGTCCTGCTGTCCCCTGCATTGGGCAGTGGTGTCTTTTGAATGGAGTGACTTGCCTGTATTCTAACTATATCAGCTTGCATTCTCTTTCCAGGAAGAACGTGATCCCTCTGGGTGAGGGAGACATCACCACCATGTGCCTCCAGCTCTCCGTGAAACCAGGGGAATACTCTTACTTCAGCCCCCAGATTATGTCAATGTGGGCTGGCCCAGAGCACTGGAGATTCAAACCTCACCATAAATGTACGTATGTTGATAGGAGGCCATTCAGACTATGGATCTGGGTCCGAGCTTATGCATCTGTGGAGGGCTGGCATCCTAGCCACTGAATGAGGAGTGTAGGCATAGGGCCTACATAGCATACATAGCATAGCATGCATTGCTCTCCAGTTAGGCTTCTAACCAGTGTGAGAACATGATGGCTCTTCTAGCTCCTCTTTCCCATGAAAAGGTTTCACAACTAGGGTGATTGTGGCAGAGTGGAGGTGATCTCTACTACATACAGTTCAATGTTAACCTTCCCTCAGCTGTTGATGAGACAGTAGCTTTTGGCTGAGGAACCCCTGAAGCAGTTGAGGGTGAGGTGAGCTCCTACCTGCTGTTTAGGGCCTCTTGATGAGGCTTATGGTACGATTCATAGATTGTTAGGGGCTGGAAGGGACCTCGCAGATCATCTGGTCCAGCTCCCCGGCTTTAGGCAGGAAGACAGTTGGGGTTAGGTGACCCTGGCAAGAGACTTAGGCAGTCACCCTCTTGAAAACCTCCAGGGTAGGTGACTGCACCACCTCTGGAGGGAGTCTATTCTGCAGTCTGGACACCCTGATTGTGAAGGAGTTTTCTGGTATTAAGCCTGAAGTAGCCTTCCAGGAGTTTGTATCCGTTGGTCCTGGTCTTCCCCAGGGATGCCCTAGTGAACAGGTGTTCACTGAGCTCCTGATGCACTCCTCTGATATAGCAGTAAGCCACTATCAAGTCCCCTCTCAACCTTCTTTTTAGGCTAAAGAGCCCCAGGTCCCTCAGCCTTTTCTCATATCACTTGCCTTGCAAGTCTCTGATCATATGGGTGGCTCTTTGGATCCTCTCAAGTTTTTCCATGTCCTTATTGAAGTGTGCTGCCCAGAACTGGATGCAGTACTCCAACTGCAGTCTCACCAGTGTTGAGTATAACTGGAGTATCACTTCCTTAGTTTTACACAAGATGCATCGGTTGATGCATGCCAGCATGTTGTTTGCTCAGCTGACCACTGCCTCGCACTGATGGCTCATTCATGCGATGGTCAGTCATTATCCCTAAGTTCCTTTTGGCTGTGGTGCAAGTCAAGCTATCACCACCAAGCCTGTATGTATGCTAAGGGTTGTTTGTCCCCAGGTGGAGCACATTATACTTGGAAGTGTTAAACTTCATCTGGTTCTGGTCTGCCCAACTCTCAAGCTTGGCCAGGTCCACCTGTATCTGCATCCTATCTTCTGACATGACAACGCTGCCTCCATAACTTGGTGTCATCCGCGAACTTGGCCAGCAAGCTTTTCACTCCCCCATCCAAATCGTTGATAAAGATGTTGAAAAGCACCGGTCCAAGCACAGACCCCTGAGGGACACTGGCCGCTTTGCACCAGGATGACATAGATCAGTTCCAGAGAACTCTCTGGTCCTACCCTGTAGTCAGTTTCCCACCCACTGAACCGTCAAGCAGCTGAGCCCACAATCTTCCAGTTTTTCCCACAAGGGTATCGTGGGATACTATATCAAACGTCTTTTGGAAGTCTAGGTGTATATCATCTACTTAGTCTCCCATGTCCAGGTGGCGAGAGACTTTGGTCATAGGAGATGAGATTGGTAAGACAAGACCTACCTGTGACAAAGTCATGCTAGCTGTCGTTCAGAATCTTACCTTCTGCAAGCATATCGCAGAAGGTAAGATTCTGAAAGACACACAGATTCTTTTATGAGATTTTTCTAGGATTTTCCCTGGGATGGAGGTTAGGCTCATTGGCCTATAGTTGCCTGGGTGCTCCCTCTTCCCCTTCTTGAAGATGGGCACAATGTTGGCCTTCTTCCAGTCCTTGGGGATTTTCCCTGTGTGCCACGAATTCTGAAAGAGCTTTGCCAGGGGTTCTGCAGTGACCTTAGCCAGCTCCTTTAGCACGCTCAGCTGAAGTCCACCTGGCCCTGCTGACTTATAAACTTTTCTAGTTGGTATTGCATCTACAGTAGGGAGGCTGTCAGTCCTGGCATTTCCCCTATAAGTCTTATCTCTCTTGACTTTTTCCCCTTGATCCGGTGAAATACCGCAGCAAAGTGGGCGTTCAGGAGTTCAGTTTTTTTTTCCCTGAATGTCGGTTATTAGCTGTCCCGAGGTGTTAAGCAGGGGTCCCACAATTCCATTTG